CAATTCCTTGATGAGGTGTGACATTGCTGGTCGTTTTGCGAGTGTGAGCTTTTCTTGCCAGCAGAATGCGGTGGCCGCTTGGTCCAGATCAATTCTCCTTGCTCGGAGTTGACCCATAAGTTCAGTGGTAAAGACGGCTTCGCTGATGTGTTTGCTGCATGTGAGATGGATGTCGAAGCCGTGTGCGGCGTACCGTAGCCAGTACGAGGACCAATTGTGTCGCAGAAATGCGACCAATGGTGCTGTTGCGATTGGCATGCCTGCCGTGCGGTTGTGCACTGAATGTGGTGTAGATTGAATGTGTTTGGGTAGGTTGAGGCCAAAAAGCTGCCTGTTGTCCCAATGCTCTGGTGTTTGAACGAAGTCGTTTGGTATCTGGGGATTTGTAGGCGTGGGATTGGGGTGTTGTTGTTGTTGGGGTGTGACGGTGGCCTGAGGTAATGTATGTGAAGAAATGCTGGGGTTTCGAGTCGTCATCGAAGATGGACTCACAAATGTGTGTTGGGGAGTGGCAGGTGTGGGGGTTGGCAGTGTGGTGGGTGATGTTGGGCCGGGAAACTGCTGGGGTGGGGGAGGGGGTGGAGGGAAAGGTGGGAAAGTGGTGTTGTGGCTGTAAGTGTGAGCTGAACCCCAAGTAGTCGGGGTTAGGGGTAAGGTGTGTGGTGGGATGTTGTGAATCCCTGGTGGTGGGGAGATCGGGTGCATTGGGGTGCTACTGGTCGAGGCTGTTTGTCGCTGCACCGTACTGATTGCTGTACCGATGATGCCTGTTGGCATTGTTGTATGCCACTGAGGCTGTGTCGGCTTGTACATGGTTGCACAATGGGGCACTACAATTGCCTGTGACTGCAAAAGCTGCACATGGAACATGCATGAGCAACATGGTTGGCTTGAGTGTCAACATCAACTTGTGCGATGCATCCAGCATGCAGCTGCATCGACTCTTCTTTGGCTCAAAAGCGGTGTCGGAGCATATGCTTGATTGCAAACAGCTATGTGCAACGGGATTCAGGCCTGGAAGAAAATATACTCGAAAGTGAAAGGAAGACACGGAAGAAAAAGAAGAAAGCAACATCACTGAATGAGGCCGAATCCAACGATGCTGAAATGCCCCGAGTGGAATCCCCACTTCTCTGGGGTCCGCACGACACCCTTTCGCCCCACGATGAAAGCTTCTCTGTACATGTCCCGATACGTCATCTTGTAATGCTGATACTTAGTCCGTATTGTCCCGATGACGATCACTCCCTGTTGGCCCTTGGGCCGCCGTGTACATTGATCGGTAACTATATGTACCGTGCTTTCCGATACATCTCCTGGGGTCGCATTCCCGTATATGACGCAAGAGGGAATGGGTGGATAGGACTTGTCGTCGAAGCAATGGCTGACTGAACTTGGGCGGACCAAGTCCTCGCGCATTATGCGCGCGGCACTTGCAATGCTCGTGCCGTGTCCGGCGGTGTAGATGTATGTTTCCCCTGGTGGGTCGGTGGCACGAGTGCCGAATGCTCTGCGAGTCTCTCCAGCCCACGGGATGAATAACATAGTATGTACGCCGTCCGATATTGGCGTCAGCGTTGCCCCCAGTTCGTTGCACGCTGATCGCGTGCCCGACTGTAGCACGGCATGTGCAAATTCGGCTAAAGTCTCCTGCCTGAAATCGCTGTCAGCAGCTATCTCGCCCAAGGTTTTGGCGAGTTTATGTGCTTCTTCCATGTCGACAGCGTGGGGGGTCGGCTTTTCATGATCGTAAAGCTCAGAGAAAGGTGCCACATCAATCTGTGGTGGTCTGCTCTGTTTGCCCAGTTGTTCGAGGGTTGGCTGACCCGATGGGGCAGCAGTTGTGGAGGCATCAAAAATCGGGGCAGGTGTCCGAATAGAGCTGGAGGGATTGTGCTGAACCTGTTGGCGAGAGGGTGTGCCCTGGCCTGTTGGGGGCTGCTGTTGTGCTGCTTGGCTGCCCTTGATGCGAAGGGCGATTCGCTGAACCTGCGAGGCCAATGTCCTTTGTGGGACCTTGGGTGGGGTAGGTGGCCTCTGACGTGGCTGTGTGGCTCTGTAATGCCACTTGTTGGCATCATCATCACGCACTGTAGAATAGCTACGGAGCACAACCGAGGTCCGCGGAGGTGTCGACAAAGATTGTCTGGTGTCCCTGCGAGAACGACTTCTGCGAGTGTCGCGGGATCGGTGGTGTCTGCGTCGGTGGTGGTGTCTCCCGCTGCTTGCCGGTCGTGCTCTGCTGCGTGTGCGACGTCGGCGCCTAGTGCTCACGGTGCGAGTTCTGCTGCGTGTGGGTGAGCGCCGTCGCCTGCGTGGCAACGGAGGATGGTGGGGAGAAGTACGTGCTGCAAACTGGTCGGTGTCTGCCGATCCCGTAGCCGGGGGTGGTTGTGTGGGTGGCAATGTGCTGACGGAGGGGGTGTTGGCTGTGTTTGTTGGTTGTTGTTGGGGAGTCATTGCCGGTGTCTGCGGGGCAATGTGTGTGGCATCGGTAGTGGGAACACTGGTGGGGTGAAGTTGTGAAGCTTGTTGGAGTGTTGTTGGCGGCGGTATGTGGGGTTGTTGAGCGGGTTGTGTGGAAGGGATGTTGCAAGGTGCAGGTTGGGGTTGTGGAGCAGGTGGTGTAAAAGGAAGGTTGTATGTGGTAGGCTGGGGCTGATGCGGTGTCAGAGTTGATGGGCTCGTGGGAAAAACTGTTGGATGGGTAGGCAATAGAGCAGGGTTCAGAAAAGTGGGGGGGTGTTGTGACATGAATTGCTGGGGTGGAGGTTGTTGTGGCATCTGGGGTTGTGGTGTGCTGAGATGTGTATATACCGTCGGATGCTGTGGAATAGGAGCAGTGTGTCCACACGGCATCATGGGGAAGCTGTGCGTCTGCTCAACAGGAATCGTAGTGGGTTGTGTCGGCAGTGTGGGCTGCTGAGTGGCAGCAATGCCAGTTGGCATCATTGCTGGGTAGCTTTGTGACTGCGGTACCCAGGTGTTCGGGTGAAATTGATTCAGCACCGGTCGGGCTGTTGGTGCATATGGTGTTGCTGGTGGCTGCGCGGCAAAATAATCCGGCCACATAGCTGCAACGAAGTGGGTGAAACAAACACAGTTGCACAAGCAAAGTGCAGGCTGTCCTGGTTGTCCCTGCTGGACTGATTTGAGAGGTCGTAGACGGAGAGAAGGAAGAGGGCCGAGTACTCTCCGAAGAGAGCGCTGTTTCACTTGCTGTAGACACTGTTACCGCGTCTGCACTCATGTCAGATGCACATGCCCTTGCAGTCCCTGAGGAATAAAGAAGCGGTAAAATACGGGGCAGACTAGAGAGGTAGCACCTGCTCACTAGACGCACTTTACTGCATTAGCCGTCCCTTACTGCACCTGCACTCATGTCAGACTCACATGCGAGCATCAGAGAGAGAGAGATAAAGTAGCATCGGGAGATTCTGAACGATCTGAACGAAGGCTGAACACCCGGTTCATCACCGGTCTCCCCGGAGGGTCACCACGGCGCCATGACGGAAAGCCGTTGCTCTGGAGTCTCATCGACCCACGCTGATCACACTGATGGATTCGGCCAAGAGTACGAGTGCAAGAGGAAAAAGAGAGGCATGTTGTTCTTGCTTGTTGTCGCATCAAACTTCAATTGTGGCAATTGAAAATCTAATCTTGGCACAGGGGCCTTCTAATCTGGCTGGCACAGGGGCCCCAGCTCAATTTTATGCAGGTACGCCAGACTGATCAGGTCTGGTATCCACCATTACGCATAGCTTCGTTGGCATGCGTTTGCGTAATGGCCGCATGCCCCCTGCAACAGTTGATTTGGTAAATGTCCAATGCCGGATTGTGTTGAAAAGCGAAATTGCAAACAGTGTAGGAGTGACCCTCTGCTCCCATGTGCTAGGGAGGTTCACACACACACACACACACACACACACACACACACACACACACACACACACACACACACACACACACACACACACACACACACACACACAACACAACACACAACAACACACACACACACCACACACACACACAACAACACACACACACACACACACACACACACACACACACACACAACACACACACACACACACACACACACACACACACACACACACACACACACACACACACACACACACACACACACACACACACACACACACACACACACACACACACACACACACACACACACACACACACACACACACACACACGCATGGACACGGAAAACACAAACTGACAGCCGACGCATATGTGTGTGTATATATATCTATATATATATATATATATATATATGTGTGTGTGTGTGTGTGTTTGTGAGTGTGTGTGTGTGCGCGTGCGTGCGCTTGTATTTATGCATGTATGCGTGTATGTGCTATGTTTGTTCGTTTGTTCGTTTGTGCGTTTTCTCGTTGGCTTGTTTGTTTGTTTGTTTGTCTGTTTTCTGTGTGTATCTGTGTGCCTGTCTGCCGGCCTGCGTGCCTGCCTGCCTGCCTGTCTCGGTCGCTCTGTCTGTCTGCCTGTCTGTCTGAATGTTTGAATGTCTGAATGTATGTGTGTATAATGTGTGTATATGATTGTATATGTATATGTCATTATATGTCTATGTAAATGTCTATGTGTATGTATATGTATCTGCATATGTATGTGTATATGTACATGTATATGTATGTGTACATGTACATGTACATGTATAGGTATATGTATATGTACAGGTGTATGCATGCATGCATGCAAGCACGTCCGTACGCCTGTATGTATGTATGTATGTATGTATGTATCTATGTATGTAGAGTCAGTCGAGCAGCCGGCATGCAGATAAATGTCTATTGTGATAGCGGGGATGGCAGGTACCTGAATGCTAGAAGCTATGAGTGGGCGTAAGTGTCAGCGTACATGCAGGCAAGAAGGAAGGTGCTTGATAAGCTGGCAGGCATGTAATCTTTCATGCGCCCACACATGCATGCATGCTCACCGCACCTCTGTCGCAGCGCTGGTGGGCGTCGCCACTCGACGAGCTCTGCAACGTCGGCGTGGTCAACAGGCACCGGCACCTTCAGTGTTCCTTTACTCAAGCAGAAACAGACACAATGTGAATTAAGTTGATTTTGAAGCTGGTTTGGTTTTCCCACTGTACACCTTGTAATCTCATTGCTGATCCTGGTTACGGCTCTTGCTGCGCATCGCGCTGCAGCAGGCTATACTGCAAGTGGCTCATTAGTAGAAAAGAGTGTAGTGTACAACATCGCAACTACTAGCTCTGTAAGCATACATTCCTGCAGCGCCAGCTGGATATTGTGGTGCAGGTTCCCACCTCTGGCAGACCTACGTGGTTCCTACACGGCACAGTGCGGAGCTCAACGCGGCAAGCAGAGGCTACAGCAGCGGAGTTTTCGTCTTCAATCCTAAGCCTCTCTAGGCCTCAAGCCCTAAACTCTTATCCCCCTCTCCTCGGTGCTGATATGTGTTCCCCTCCCTCAACCAAATTCGTAGTCTGGAGGCGTACGGCTAAACGACACGAGGGTTCAAAAACAGAAAAAATAGCGTCCTAACCCGAAGCCCTGCGAACCAAGTCAAAGGTACGAGCATACCATCTTGCTTGGCAGCTCCCACAAGGAAGTCGCCATCCCAGTTTTGATCTAGATTTGATCGGGTAGACTGGAGTCTTACAGCAAATAATGTAGGGTTGTATTCGTATAGGGTGAAGTTTAGGGCTTTACTTGGTAGCCTGTCTGATGCGGTCAAGAGTGATCAAAGGTGCTGACGCGGGGCCGACATCTCAGCAAGAGCAGCGACCAGCCTCCAAGCGTTTCGGATGTCTTGGAGAGTCGACATCCAAGGTGACGACTACTGAAAGGATGTCGATTTGTTTGCAAAATAATATGGCGCGTGCGCGCGTCGAAAAGGCTTTGTCCGGTGATGGCTACCGAGCCCACCGGGTACCTTGCGGGGTGCATGAGGAGCTCGTAAAGCTCGGGGAGCATTGCTCAGACGACGGAGTCAAGCTAGACTAGCCTCAGAAACTTCGAGTCAGCGAGCTTGCTGGATTGTTGGGAGTAGGAGATATTTTTGGGCCTGAATAATTACCAATACTATTTTTGGGGCTCCTTGTTATAGTATAATGGGCCCCAAAACCCTATTCAAACTATTACGGCCCCTATATGAATCTGAAATGTTGGAGACCGGGAGGAGCAGAAGCTCCTCGGAGACCGTTGCGCTGGGTTCCTGCAGCTGCGACTCTTAAGCACTTCAGCTCATAGCTCATATGGCAAACTCCTGAATCTCAGAGTCTTCCAGGAGTAGTTCAGACTGCTCTAGCATAACTATAACAAGCAGCCCCCTTAGCATTATGAAGGCCCCTGTACTACTCCACTCCGCTTCTCCTGCTCACCTCGAGATGCTCCGATGCTCTGCTTGGAGGTTCATGGGTAGTTATAAGTATAGTTATAAGTCCCCTAATATGAGTCATAAGTATCATTACCATATAACCCTACGTATAACTACCCATGAACCCTAAACCCTATACCCTTGTAGAATCCCTGTGAGATCCCTTTAAAGGACCCTTATAACCCTACTTATAACTACCCCTGAGCCTCCAAGAGAGCCTTGCCATGGGAGTCGTTGGCTCTGCCTAGCCGAGACGATCCGATGATCCGCTACGAGAAGGCCGGGCCAGGAAGGATGAACCAAGAGAGCAGAAGCGTGGAAACAAAAGTAAGGGTAGCACCAATCATGGTAACAACAAGCATGGGAAGCATCATTTTGGTGACCATAATGATGCGAACCATAATAGTGGCAGCAATCATAATGGGAACCATAATATTGGTACCAATAATAATGTTAACATGTTAACAATGATAATGGAGTAATAATGACAACCATAATAACAACAACAATACTACTGCTGCTACTACTACTACTACTACTACTACTACTACTACTACTGCTACTGCTACTGCTACTGCTACTGCTACTGCTACTGCTACTGCTACTGCTACTGCTACTGCTACTGCTACTGCTACTGCTACTGCTACTGCTACTGCTACTTCTACTACTACTACTATTAATAATAATAATCATAATAATAATAATAATAGTTGTTATTATTATAACACTATTAAGAAACAGAGTAGAAGAATAAGAATAAAAAGAATAATTGAGGTGCTCCCAAACCTGGGAGCCTCTCCAGGAAGCCAAGAAGATGCTTTTCCATCCCTTAAGAGACCCAAGCATGCCTGATGTCGAATAGCTCTAGGCCCATGCACCTGCCTGCAACGTCTGAAATTCTGCCTAGTACTCCTGAAAAGTGCCCATCTCTTAGACGGTCCTCGTCTCGTACCAATTCTCGAACTCGACAGCTGTCGGGTTTTCAGGATGCGAGAATTTGGGGTTCCTAAACTCTAACGTTGGAGGCCCAGGAACCTCAAAACCAGACAGACTAGAAGAGTTGCCCCCGAAAGCCCGAGATTCCTACATTCGCAACCCTAATACATTCCTAAATTCTCGACACTATAATTCCTAAGCCCCCCAAACCCAGGGCTACTCCGGCCTATGGATCGTCCTTCGAATCGTTGGTACCACCTGGCCGAGTGCTGTGCCTCCGGGGCTCCTGGCTGCCGGTGCCGAGGTTGCAAAGTTTTATGAGCCTATGAGCCCAGGGCGATTTTTGTCAAGACAAACTCTTATGAGCCTATGAGCTTCAAGGGCTGACCTTGGTGTTAGAGTTTAAGGAGGCTTTGGGGTTTTCGGGTTTAGGGCTTAGAGTTTATTGTTTGTCTTGGGTTTAGGGTAGGGTTTCTGGACTCGAAACCTTATGCTTCCCAATTACGGATTCAACATTAATCGATGCCTCGCTGCCGAGGGCTTCGTGGGTTTGCCTTTGGGTTTAGGGTTGGAAGAGTCTTCTGAGATGCTTGAAGCGTTATGGCTGGCTTGGGTCAGCGATGTTGTGCATTGGGGGCTTGCAGCCGGGGTGGAGGGGTGGAGATTTCAGGAGCGCTTGCACTCCATGCAACATAAGCTACAGCTTCACGTGGGAGTCATGCTTGCTGGCAGTAACAGTCAGGGACAAGGCAGCTAGCATCCCCAGCCGCCATTAGCCACTCAACGTGCATGGCTTCAACGGAAGTGTGTTGAGGAATCAGCCTCTTCATGGGCGTCTACTCAGATATTGATGTGTACACCAGAGACAGGGATGCCTTCCTTGGACATCCTTATGCCTTCCGGCTGTTTTCGGCAGTGGTGACGAATCTGCTGATCTTCAAGATGAACGCAGCGTACCAGCGGTATTGGGAGGCGGGGCTCAGCGTTGCTTCAAATGCCCCCAGTCCATTTTCAACTCTTGAGCCCTGAGCCCCAAGTTGGGTCCCTTGGTATTTCGCAGGCTGCCGGAGCCATGCAATCCATGGCCACGAAATGGCTGGATGGTGCGTGCATGGCGGTCACCTTCGATGCGGCAGGCCCTCCCGAGCCTCCTCGTCTCGTCGTCTTGTCGGGCATTAGTCATGAGCTGCTGTGGTATGCTGTGGTGACGGTGGCGATGACGGTGTGGAGGATCACCGACGGCGATGATGCTGATGGTGATGGTGATCATGGCGGGGATGGTGGTGCTCATTTTGATTTTGATGACGACAGTGATGATTCTTGTGGTAGTGTCTTTGGTGTGGTTGTGAGGCTGTTGCTGCTGATTATATATTCTTATGATTGCTGCTCAAATTGCTGCCAATCATGCTCATCGCATTTGCATTGGCCGTGAAGCTGTGCACTCGTGAAACAGAGTTGGAGAGCAGTGGGCCAAAGAAAACAGATCAATCAATACACAGCTCCAGAGTAAAACACCAGTAACGACTGCTGTAAAGAGCATGGACAGCAGCGGGATACCTTCTGACAGTTTTGATGTCTTCCTGGTTGCGGTATTGATGGTACGTAGAGCACAAAGGTTACTGGCAGCGCGCACCAGGAAATGGAGCGATCTGAGCAGCAGCAGCATCAGTGGGAGTATCGTTAATCGAACTAGTAATGCCAGCTTTCGCAGTATCACGTCCAGTCCGCTAGTAGTTAGAATGCCAGGGGAGTAGGCAGGAGTGGTAGCATTACTTATGATGATGCCAGTCGCAGTATTAATCAGTTCCAACTAGTTACTTGCTGCTATTACGGCTGTTTAGCCTCGTTACGTTAATGCTCACTGCGATTATGACCATTCTGTGTTTGCCGCATCATTATTGTTGCTGGTGGCCACAGCTTATTTTCCAGTTCGTGTCTCTACGCATATAATCATATGTACATACATCGGTGCACACACTCACACACCCATGTATGTCCTACAAACGTAAATGCGCAGTAGTATTCATGCAGCCATTGCACTCGGGTTCAGTTGAGAAAGCCGACTCCCTGCGCCTGTCAGCACAGGTGATTCCGACAATCCCTACCTGAACGGCAGTGAGTGGCAGAGGACCCAGCCAATGCAGTCGTGCTTAATCCTTCTTCATCACAGAGCACAGTGTGGGGCTTTCCGTTGCCAAACTTTGCTGGCAACAATGAACATTGTCGCACTACACTTGAAACCTAAACCTATCTGGGAGCCTGTTAAGGAACTTAACGTGACTTGGGTTTATGGTAGGTAACAGGTTTTTCTTGCATATATGGTAGCTTAAACGAAATCAAACTCCTTCACACGCCTTTTGAAGGAGCTCAGCACCAGATTCGAGCAGTAGCAAGGAACCTCGGCGGCAATAGCAAGTGGGTCGGAATTCGTGTTTGGTAATCATATCGCCTTGTAGTCACACTATAAGAGTGTTTGTGCTACAAACCCCAAGATCCGCTATTCTAGTTGTTAAGGCCCCTTACATTAGAAAACTAGAATCTGGGGCTAACTCGTTGAAGAAGAGTAGAGTGTTTTGTAGGACAACAGAAGAACCAGTGCACCTAAAATGGCCTGTGCAGGGTGGCCCCGATCACACCGAGTATGTGGCGGATGTCCTCCATCTCTGCAGCCTGCTCCATGCAGTGACGCTTCTTCACCTGCGGAGAGATTCGAATCTGGACAACTTGGTGCCCTCCAAGCTGGGCCCGCGCAAATTGCCTTAATATGGGAGCGGTAGGGAGGTAGGAGTCGCGAGCGCATGAAAATCGAAACACACTGCCTGGGATGTGATAGCTTGTGTATCTCTTCGCGATTGTTTTTCTGCTGTACGGTGTCTTGCCTAGTACTATGATATAGGATAAACGGTATACAGTAGTAATTATATATATATATATACACACACAACGTATAATATGCCGACCTTCGCTAGCTCTGTCTGGCCAAGGGCACACCATTATGCCAAGCAGCCCGTCTTTCTGGTCTGAGAGGTGGGCCTTGTCGGACTGACAATCGATAGCACGAGACTGTCTTATGCATTATGTTATAGGTTAAGGGTGTAGCATCATCTTATTCTTCTGTAGAGTGTAGCTGGACTAAGTCGTTCCACTGTCGCTTGCATGCCGAGGTCAACATTGCTGTGGCTGCGATGCAGTACTGAATGTTGCACGATATCGCTCTCTGCTGTATCTCTTTACCTTCTGCTGCAGAACTTTGCACGGTGTACAAGCAGTACTTGGGGGCTGGGTTTGCGACCTTTCACTTTTTCGGTAGATAAAAATCCGTACCATTATTATCTAAAGTTAACCCTAGAGCCTCTTGACACAAAGCATTTCGCTGCGGTACACTGCCTCGCCCGAATCGGGCCCTACCCTTTGCCTTGGCGAGTGTGCACAGCGCCTGCTGATGCTGTCGTCACGGCTTGAATCAGATGCGTCTAGGTAGAAGTTCCTTGAAGGGATCCTTTCAGGGTTCCTTGAAGGGGTTCCTTTAAG